CTTAGGTATGCTATGATTCAGTGATTTGGCACACATTGGAATGACTGCTCCTCCATAATTTATAATGCAATGTAATCACTTCTGTTGTGGGATGTGTCAATAGCCAAGGGTGGAAAGGGGAAAGTCTTTGGGATCGTTACAGGCGTATGTAAGTGAGTGTTCTGACAGGGCACACTCACTCTCTCTTTATACTTTATCCTCCTCTGATTGCCTGGCCTCTTGTTACTGTGATGTCAGCATGTAGAAGTCTCGTCTGCTGCATGACATGCCGAGTTTGGGCTCATTTCTCTGCAATCATGTGTATGAGTCAACAGAAGTCTAGCCTGCAACTCCATTGTGGGTTTGGGGCTGGCCAGTCTCTGCAGTTGTTTGAGCCATTCCCTTGAGGTAAACTTCTCTAAATTCATATATATGTTTCACTGATTTTACTCCTCTAGAGAACCCAGACTTAGACAGTCATAAAGCTAAATATATTTTAAAAAATAAATCTATTAAAAACATGATTCTTGCTTCTGTTTCTTTGCCTGGTTCTTGTTTGCACACTATCTAATTAGCAATGCTTAGGAAAACGATAATTATTCATCAGTATGTATTAAGATGGCTTCTAATAAGCATTTCAGGGCATATATAAATGTGGTAGTCACTAAACTAATGCCAGATGTTCTAAATGCTCAAGCAAATGCTATTCATTTCTGAGTCAGAGTCAATTATTTTATTCAGAAAATTTTTATAGCATATATAAAATGTAATTAAGAATGGTTTTAGTAGATCAGCTTTGGTGGAATTATGTAACCAAAAAATACATATAAAGCTAAAGTTTATTCTCTTTCAACGTTTTACAGAATCTTTCATGTTGCTTGGTACAGAAGCAAAACCTGAAAAGAAACATCAGTAATTACCTCTTTCCAACAGAATCATTAACACAAAGTTGAGAAACAAGTTTTTGGGGCAGAGAACAAAAGTAGACTAGCCTCTCCTAAATTCAACCATTCTAATACAAAGTGTACTAAAAATACAGCCATTCAAATGGCAAGTAATTTTTAACAGCAAACTGGAGGATCTATTCATGTCTGGTAGAGAAATGAAATAAATGATGTTAAATAATGAGAAATTCATTTAAAAATATTAACATAGGAATATTCTCAAGAAATATCCCTAGCCTTTAGAATTAACAACCATGCATTTTTCCATAGGAGGAGGGGTGGTGTTATAATAAAGTAGGGCTGTCTTCATTTGGAGCAGGATTAGTCAGAGGTACAAGGCATCATCAGAACAAAAAATCTTACCATAGTGAATGATGGGGGGAGTGCGGAGTGGAGACCCAAAGCCCATTAGCAGGCCACTGGAGACCGCAGAGGGGTCTCGGGGAGGAGACGAGCCAGTCAGGGGGGGATGTAGCAACGATGAAAAATACAACTTTTCTTTAGTTCCTAAATGTTTCCTCCCCGCTCCCACTATCATGATATGAATTCTACCTTGCAAGTCTGGCTAGACCAGAGGATGTACACTGGTACAGATAGGAGCTGGAAATCCAGGGAATCCAGGGCGGATGAGCCCTACAGGACCAGTGGTGTGAGTGGTGATACTGGGAGGATAGAGGGAAAATGGGTTGGAAAGAGGGAACTGATTACAAGGAACTATATGTGACCTCCTCCCTAGGGGACAGACAACAAAAAAGTGGGTGAAGGGAGACGTCGGACAGGGCAAGATATGACAAAATAATTTATAAATTATCAAGGGCTCATGAGGGAGGGGGGAGGGGGGAAGGAGGGAAAAATGAGGACCTAATGCCGGGGGCTTAAGTGGAGAGGAAATGTTTTGAGAATGATGAGGGCAATGAATGTACAAAAGCGCTTTACACAATTGATGTATGTATGGATTGTGATGAGTTGTATGAGCCCCTAATAAAATGATTAAAAAATATATATATAATTATTCAATTTCCCCAACTAATGCCATGTTTTGATTCTACAGTTCCCAAACATCCTTTTGATTTAGTATTTCTTACAAAGAAATTAAGAACAGAATATGCTTAGTTAAGGCAATACATTCGTCCCGCCTTCTCTGTGAGAGATACTATCTGAAACTCCAGATGGTACTTAAGCCTATGCTCATATATGTACCTATTATAGAGTTTAACATATAAATCAGGCACAGTAAGAGGTTAACATCAACCAGTGGTAATAAGGAACAATTATAACAACGTGATATAAATTATGTGAGATGAAGCGAGGTGAATGACATTGCATTAGACTCTTATTTTCCAACTGCTGTTGCACTGTGATGACTGAAACCGCAGGAAGAACCATCAGCAGATAAAGGAGACCACTTACATACTTGTATTCTTGCTAAAAGGGACACTGATATGTCTTCCAACCATGAGACTATTCTGATCGAAGAATCTCTGGCTGCACAACAGGAGAGGCTATACCTCTCTCTTAGCTGTACCTACTCACTCAGCACCTCTGGATTTTGACCCTTCCAGGATGTATGGCTGACATCTAAATCATTCTGAATTTCAGGCCTCCCTTTCCAGTCGAATATCCCTAGCCCAGGTTCCATAGAACCTTCTCGAAATGAACAAGTGCTTCTACTTTATTGGGGGAGTGTTAGCCTAGTTAGGAAGAAACGGAGTGAGCCAGCTGAACAGGAAGCACACATAGAGGTGCTAAACTGGCCACAGCTTTCAACAAAGTGTGATGTCTTAGGGAATATTTTCACTGAGGTCTGATGAATCCTTGCACTGTGGGAAAGTCTCACTTGGGGGAAAGGGAGAATGTATCCATCAGTTTCTTCAGAAGCTTCAACTCTTTAGTCAAAGCACTCTTCTAAAGTAAGGTTTACCACAGAAAGCAAAACCAATACCCCGTCCCCCAAACAATAAAGACACATCCCATAAAACATTTGTAACGTGTACTTAAAGGTTATTTGTTGTTTGTTTGCAAATCACATTTAACTCTACATCCAGTATTTTATCTGGCAATCCTGCTCTCAGGGTATCAACACACCCGACTTCCCAGGCAGCTGCTGGGCAAGAGCCTCCACAAGTCAGGTCTACAAACACAAAGTGGGGCAGTGTCTACAAACACAAAGTGGGGCAGTGCACAGGGCTCCTCAGTAAGCAGCTGCGGTTGGCAGTCAGCAGCAGAAGCAGCTATTCAGCCCAGCACAGGGCTGCTTCCGGCTACTGGCCACAAGGCAAAGCAAGTGGGTGAGAGCAGGGATAGGGAGGTAGCGGGAGAAAGGTTTTGTTGTACGGATGATATAATTTTCTGAAAAAGTAGTCAATATTTATTACAATCTCTTAGACCATATTGTATTAGATACTGAGATACAGTTACTGGTAATAAAGTAATTTCTGCTACAGGGAGCTTCACTCATTATGCACTGCCAAATAATCTTTAAGTACACGTTACAAATGTTTTATGGGATGTGTCTTTATTGTTTGGGGGACGGGGTATTGGTTTTGCTTTCTGTGGTAAACCTTACTTTAGAAGAGTGCTTTGACTAAAGAGTTGAAGCTTCTGACTCATAGCAACCCAATAGGGGAGGCAGAACTGACGCTTAGGGTTTTTGTAACTGTAACTCTCTATGGGAGTAGGTTTTGACTTTCTCCCTTGGGGATGCTGGTAGTTTTGAACAGCTGACTCTGTGGTTAGCATCCCAACAGGTAATCACTACACCATGAATATTGTATGAGTCCTGATTTTAAAGTTTAGTTAATACTCTGAAAAAATTCACTGTCTTTAACTCAATTCTGACTCACACTGTCCTACTGGTCAGGGAACTGCCCCTGTCTGTTTCTGAGACTGTAACTGCTTACAGGAGTAGAAAGTCCCATTTCTCACCCATGGAGCACCTGCTGATTGCAAACTGTGTACCTTGTGGATCATAGCCTGAGTTAGTTTATTGTGCCAACCTGGCTGATAAACACATGTGGGGGCTAATTGAAAGGCGGAAGGATAAATGGCTTGGTGAGCCTCGCCTTTCGAGTTCTCGGGTCTCTTGATTTGTGATGGTTGCACCAGGGTGCAGCTGCCTTAGCAGTTCCCAGTTTCAGCTTGCAAGGCTGACTTCCTGCAAGACATCCGCAAGAAGCCACATGGACCTACCCCGATGCAGTCCTGCGTGCTGGAGCAGCCATGTGGAGACCCCTGCCAGTGCTGAGATGTTTACACATTCACTGATTCGGCTTTCTTCCTGCAGTCGGCATCATTGTGTCTGTTTTGTGAGATGGAGGAGGAATTTCTGGATTGGTGTTGGACATATGGGTTAATGTTGGGGACTTGTGGGCTTGGGCAGCACTGGGTTGGGATGTTTTCTTGATGCAATTAACCATTATATAAAACTCTCTTTTACATGAGTTTCTGTGGATTTGTTTCCCTAAAGTACCCAGACTAATACATAGCCCAAGACATAACCACTACCCCACCATGAATGCTAGTGAAATTAAATAATTTTCAAATGACAGTATCATCAAATGAAGGGAAAGCTAAATCACATGTATTGCTTTCTATAGTCTTCTAAAATAGAAGTACTTAGAAAATAATGAGATGGTCTGTATTACATATTGACATTAGTCTTTGATTAGAAAGATATGTCTTGAGTTTTTGTTCAGGGGGTATTGAGTGTATGTTAATGGTGGTGGAATAATTTCAAAAAGGGTATCAATAATGGTTGCACACACAAAGAGTGTAATCAATGACATTGAATTACACATGTAGAGATTGTTGATTTGGAGAATGTTTTGTTGTGTATATTTGTGCCACAATAAAAAAAATAATTACACTAACAACGAGTACAAGGAAAAAGAAAGTGTTCTAAAATTTATTGAACAACTTTTCTTGATATATTTGAACCACTGAACTATAAGATATGTGGATGAAGTGCCAAAAAACTGTTTAAAAACAAAACAAAAACCTCCCATACCAAAATAAAAAGGAGAGCGAGTGAGAGAGAGGTCTATTTGTACAAACCATTTCAAAAAAGAAGTTGAAACGCATTATATAATACTTTTTATTTAGATGTTCATAAGGCAGATCTATGAGAATGGTATAAAAACATGGCACACAATTTGATAACTGTATTTTGGAGACAGGGTTTTAGCAAATATCAATTACAAAGTTATCAAGAAAGCACTATTTTCCAAGCAGACCTTTTCCAAAAACCTTTTTGTCCAAACATCCTGCCCCCACCCCCACAAAAAGCATCTAATGAAAGATCAAGGCAAGAAGATGAGTAAACTCAATGACCTATGAAAATCAGTTCTAATGTGAATTGCGCATGACCCTTTAAAAGTTTTTAAAGGTCTAGAATTATTGCAGTCTAGTTTATTCAAACAGTGCTCACGGTATCGCGACAGAGAACTGAAAGACAGAAAAGGGTAGTCTGGCTTCGTTAACAAAGCAACTCAAATCCACAGAGGCTGGGCGGGCGATTCTCTCTGGGAGGCGTGCAGCAGTCTTTCAGGTCTCCCTTGTGCTTTCTTCATGGGGTGGTTTTGATCTTGCGGACACCTGCTCGGCATTCTGCCACCCTGCCCACATTTCCCGAAGTAAGATGGGGTAAGACCATAAAGAACACAAGCTTTTTTCCTGTTAAGGAGACTTCCAGGAATCACACATATCAGTTACTATGGAGCCAACCCCAAATCATGATGACCTCCATGTGTCAGAGTAGAACTGAGCCCCCTGGGCTTTTCAATGGAAGTGGATCATCAGGTTTTTTTCTTTGACACTTTTGGGCCGACTCAACCATCAACTTTCAGCTAATGGTCTGCGTTGCCCAGGGACTCCAGACAGCCGCACAAACCTCCCTTTATTTCGCGCTGGCGAGCCCTCAGCTTCATGGATACTCTTACCTCAAGGCTAGGTAGGGAAAGTGAGGGACAGCCGCTTTTCGAAGAAGGAAGGGAAAGAGGGGAGATAGCTTCCAGTACCTGTTCAAGATTAATGTCTACAAAGCTGGGAAACTCCTTTAAAGAAGATCTCAGTAACTTAAGAGAATACTTCCATGAAGTTGGCAATTTTGGAAATCATGAAAACGTTTCTGCTTTTAGGATTTAAAATCACTGAGAAAATCTATATGTTCTGCCCTCAATTAGGATGCTACAAGGAGAACTCAGGGAAATTAAAAGCCTCTCAGTGTGTACATGTGTTAGGCTGAACTAAACTTTGTTTTTTTAATGTGGACAGAGCCTATGCATTCTAAGCACTTTATAATTTCTTTAGAAGTAAAGTGAATACTATTCACTTACAAAACTCATTGTTCAAAGGTACGAACAAATTATGTTTCCACTAAAAATATTACAGTCTCACTCAGAGCTAATTACATATACATACCAGAACTTGTTTTAGATTTAGGATCAACTGAAAACAGAACATCACATTTTCATTACAACATATCACAAAGAGAAATCTTTACATGGATTAAGGTATATTAAACTGTGTGCTGCATGGCTCTAAGTCAAGGTTTTATAAAACAGTGTCACTGTGACATTTTAAGAGGTTCTATGTATTTTATAGTCTGGCATGGGTATAATTAGTTCAGCGCTTATAGTATTCCTAAAGAAATAGCTATGAATTACATTTGTGGTTCTTTGTTAAAACAGCATGTAAGAATCTTAAATTTTATAATTAAACTTCTTATTTTGGGAAGGGGAAGAATTTCTTTGTACATTTTTTATGAAATAGTTTAATGGCAAAAGGAAATGAAAAAGAATTAAGGCTTCATCACAATGCCTAAGAATTGAACAACAACAACAACACCAAAAGGATATAGTATACTCTCGAAGTCTTTTCGTACCCAAAACTTTCATAAATTGGGCTATAATGTATTCTGAATAGACTTTAATTATTACTATCAAAAGACTTAATTTGGAAAGTAAAATCCCTTAATTAAGACAAGGTCATGCTAATTTATATGAAACAAATCAGGTAGTTTAACACTAGGGCTAAGTCACTTCCTTGTGCACCACAAAATGGCCTTTAATAAATACCTATAAATATAATTTATTCTTAATTTAAAATATTTTAATGCTGAAATAAAAAAATCTCACATGTGGATAATCTGGGCTAACTTTTCATGTATGTATTGAAAAAATATATGATAGCATTAATATATAGTATTCAATATTAAGTATGGTTTCAAATGCTCTTAAAAGAGGTATGAAAATTTCACATAAAAGCTAAATAGCACAATATAGTCCATGGTTATTTTCCTCTTAGAAAAAAATTACTTGATGTTGTTTTTTTGCATAGAATTATGACTGAATATGTTTTGTATAACCTTACAATATGCTCGTGGGCACTTCTCCAAACACAGATCATGAAACAAATTTCCACTGTCTAAAGTCCCACACCCTCACCCCATTTCCTCATTTGTAACAACAGAATTTTAAGGCCAGAATATGACTCAGAAATAAAATGATTATTAAGAATAACCATTAAGAAGAATAATCAGATTAGCAAAGTAAACCAACACAAACTCAATGAATATTTTTGCATTTTAAAAATGCAAAGATTTTAAGAACTATAATGAATACAGTACATTTACGGCAAAAATTTGAAATTACTGAATATTGGTAGTCCTGAAAAGGAGATATTACTACTGGAAGCAACAGTTTGATTTTTTATGCATCTTCATAAAAGTTCACCATTTCATATTTCAAATGCTCCATTAATCTGCACTAGTGATTTCCTTATCTATATTACTGGCTACTTAATATATACATGCAACAGTAGACTTCAAAACACATCAAATTTTTAAACCAATTCCACTGTATTTTCACAGTAAATAGTTAAAGGATGGCTTTGAGAAGGTAAAATTTAAGGGATCAGAAAGTACTGAAATAGGCTGTTTTCACTTGTGCACTAAAATAGTAAATATTTCTATAGGTGTTTAACCCCTAAAAGTTATCATCCAACTGAATTCCCACTAAGAAGTCGTGGGTGATCATTAAGAGGGGAAGAATATAACTAAAATAAGGAAAAAGGAGAGTTCAAGAAAGTACAAGGGCCAGACGAGAGCGATTCCAGAGTCCCTGACCAATGTACTAGGAGGGAAAGAGCCAGAGATGGGTCAAGGTAACCCCATAAATGAAGTCCTTCTATATTTTGTCAGCTGGATCCATCAATGTGTCAGTGGGTAAATTTAGATATGTTATCATTCTAAGAGGAGAAATGCATCTAATTGAATCTAGCCTGCCACTTGTTATTTGAATAAGAACAAATGGCGCATTCTTGCCAACGTTTTTTTTAACAAACTGCAATTTAAATGTAGAATGTGAGCACAGAAAAATTGTTATGAATAATTCACATGATTATATGTTCCTGGAGTAGATTTATAATTAACCACTTATCCTAGTATCCTCCATGCTTGCAAATTGCTCCCTAATGAATGGTTGAGCAGGCAGGCGGACACCTAAGGACGAGAAAATGACCAAAGCCTACAGGAACTTAAAAAGATTCTGTAGGACCTTAGTCGTTCCTTATCAGTGTGCTGGTCCTCCTTCTGCTTGACACTAGTAGTCCTCAGAAGGGAGGTTTCCTGTGTCTGCTTCTAATCTCAAGGTGCATGTTCCAGGTCGGGCCAGGTGAACAGAAATAGATTATCCAACAAGCAAGAATGCGTTAATGCCCCCATCAAAAAATGTCAATGGCTTTATACAAGAAGGCACCTACTGAGACTGGTATCTTGAGCAAAGTACATGGGGCTGGAGCAGGGACAGGAGAGCTGAGCACAGCCTCTGGACGGGAACGCTAGGTTAGGTATGCACTAACCATTGTCCTAGTACCTTGGACAAAGTACTTTTTGAACCCTCAGTATCCTCCCAAGTACAATGAGGTTCAGAGCTACCTACCTCACAGGGTTGTCATAAGTATGAAATGGGACAGGACAAGTAAAGTGCTTCGAACAGTGCTTGGCACACTAAAACTCTCCCATTACAAACTAGAGGGTAGCAACTGCTTACAGCGCAAACATGTGGGTTGATTGACAACTGTTGGTGTGTAAAATTGACACTTTCCCTCTAACAAAGGAATACTTTTAAGATTCCCAGGGTTGGTATTATGCTAGAAACATCCATTTTGGAGGAAGAATATTACTAAGTCCTTACCCCGGTCAACATATTATTATACATATTAAACTGTTCTGAAATAAAACTAAGAGTAAAATACTGCATTTTCAGTATACATTTCATATTACCAATCAGTTACTCCTTTAAATTTGTGTAGCGTCATATTGACTCATATGATTTAACTATGGCCTTTATATTCTATTTTATGAGAGGAATGTTACCACGCACCCTTACTTAGATGCTAATGTAACATGTCCCTTAAAAAATGAGTGTATATTTCTAGTTCTTAAGTTGTACAATAAGTAAAACCTGCCTGAAGCTTCAGAAAAAAAAATGCTTTGGATGAAATTTTTTGAATGATATTCAAAGCTTAAAATTCTGCTCCTTTGCAAATTGTTTTTAACATGATGAAGTATGTTTATATTATTAAATAAATATATTGACCTGATTATGAAATCTTGTTTCGTTCAAACAACAACAGTGTTACCATTATACCAAACAAAACAAAATGTACCTAAAGTTCAACAGTATGTTTAGCTCCCAAAATTCAAATTGGTCAAATATGACATTTGTGAAAATTATTTTGGAAAAATAAATCCACCACTAATTTGGTTAAGACCTCAATTAACAGGTTTCAGCCCACAGCAAGTTTGACACACATTGACACAAACCCTTCAACCCCACATTAAGTTAATAAAAATCATGGCGTAAGTAGAGCTTTGACTGGCATCAGTGAGCACCATTTATCATCATCACATTACTGTGACTCTCTCAGGTGAGAGATGAGGAATCGCTCCTCCAATACCTTCTTCTAGAAACTGGCTCTTTTCCCAGCCTTTCTTAATTCTTTTTAGCTTCCGGCTTATACAAGGAAGGAGTAAAATAATCTTACCCAGAATTACAATTGAAGGCAAAACCAGAGCAAGAACAAAATTTGGTGGTGTATAGAACCGATAGTATTCTTCTTCAAAAGCTCGCTTCCATCCATAAATTAAAACATGGAAAGTACTTATGAGTAGAGCGACGTATCCCAGGGTAGACTAACGGTGGGAGAAGGAAGACAAAGAAACAAATGATTCAAATTCATAAATCAACCCATCAGGTAGACCATGTTTGCATTTTGATGTAACTATTTTATCTTAAATTATTGAACTGTTCTTTGTTCTAAATCAAGCTATTTTAACATTGTTCCATATGTCACATGCATTCATATATCTATACTATGTTATACAAATAAGGTGACACTGCATATAGTTGGATATCCTGATCATGAACCTTAGTAACCTTGGTGGTGTAGTGGTTACATGGTGGGCCGCTAGCCGCAGGTTAGCAGTTCCAAACTACCAGCAGCTCTGTGGGAGGAAAACAAGGCTTTCTATTTCTGTAAAGAGTGACAGTCTCAGAAACTCACAGGACAGTTCTACTGAGTCCCCTAGGGCCACAATGAGTCAGAACTGACTTGATGGCAGTGAATTTGAGTGAGAGATCAAGAACTCTTTTCATCATGCAATTTAACTACTCTGAAAACGTGACTTTAATGCTGTTTAATATTCTGTTGAGTGAATGTATGATACATTTATTGAACCATTCCTTCTTATTGACCACTGCAACTCTAAATAATGCCACTTAAGCAGCCCCATTCTAGGTTTCAGATTATGTTCTTAGGGCTGATTTTTAATAGTGTGATAGCTGGTCAAAACATCTACCTTTCCCTGAAATGTGTTGGTACAAACTGCTGAATTATTCTTTCGAAAGGTTGTTCACATTCCTACCAGTTGTATGTACATTAAAAAAGTCCTTTTTGATACAGTGAAATGCGAAGGAGTATTCTCCTGTGTGTACATATACACACATATACATATACATGTATTTATACATACACAGATAGAAGCCGATAGGTAACACATTTTAAACCTGTAGCGTAGGGAGTTAACCATTGGGTTATTAACGGTAAAGGTTGGTTGTTCAAACTCACTAGCCTCTCTGAGGGAGAAAGATGTGACTCCCTGATCCCATAAAGATTTAGAATCTTGGAAATCCTAATAAGCAGCTTTACTTTGTTCTATAGAGTTGTTAGAAGTTGAAATTGACTTAATGGCAGTGGGTGATAGTATAGAATGAATATGTAGTATAAAGATGAATTCAAATGCCTGGTTTTATTGGCCACATTAAATGACATCATCGAAAGTATTAAGTCGTTTACAAGATTATCGTTAACAGAACCTCTTACTTTGAGAGATGTACCAGCACATCAGTGTGATGATGTAATGTAATGCCTAACTTCCCTGTGACAGCGCCAAGTCTTCTTTCTAGCAGGAAAAATCCTTCTGTTTGCAACTACTCATCCTAATTTATGGGTGATAATTTGCACCCATGACACCTTTTATCAGTGTTCTTTCCAGGTGTGATTACACAGGCAATTGGGAAAGTATTCACATTCTCTTCAACAAAAAATGAATTTAGATGAGGGTTCAGTTCTTATTCTGAATGAGACATTTACAAAAACCTCAAGTAAATAGGCAAATAGAAAGAAAGCTTACTGCACCACCAAAGGACAGCATCTGCAAGTGTGTGTTTGGGTCCTTCTAGCCCCTTTAGATACAACCATTACAGATTTTATGATAATGTAGTAGTCTAGATTTGAATTATATATTTATGAAAATACACCTTTATTATTACTGGAAGAAAACGTTTAACTTATTAAAGAACAGGCTGGTGTTTTGAAACCTCTTCACAGACACTTCGAAGTACAATACATATACTAAAAAGATGTAAGCCTGGCTGTTGTCATAATCCATTGGCCTAGTTACTGGGCTTGTCACTGATTGTGTTTGCGTGTATGTTTGTGTTGCTCATGTTTCTTGTAAAATATTCAGCCTGAACTTCTTACTCCTTAAATTCAAATGAGATCTCCCCCCAACATAAATTAAGATGACTCAAAATATATTCAAATTCTTTATTCACCTAAGAAACAAATCGACTTTCAACATTAAATTTTTTCTAGGCTCACCCCTCCCCTACTTTCATTTTATTTTAAATTAACCTTTCTCTTTACCTTACTGGCAGTGTTATCAAAGTCCTCCAGTACTTGCAGCCTGATCTTCCACTTACTGGACCAGAGTCATCTTAAACTGGTTTCCAGGGGAATGTGTTTCCCAAGGTAGCAGCATAGACACAAGCCTTGTGCTGTTGGGTCAATTCTGATTCCTGCTGACCAGGGATATTTCATGGTAGAACTGTATCATGCAGGGTTTTCAGGCTCTACTCTGACTCGACTCTTAGAAAGGATTTCCAGGCCTTTCTTCCTCAGGGCTACTGGGCAGATTTGAACAGCAATTTAGTAGCTGAGAGAAAGCACTTGGTTCTACCTGGGGACTTTAGCTTTCCCCTTGCAGTAAGAAGGGTCCTTTATTTGGGGGGCATCTATAAAATCAGTTAAGTTTTATGCCATCAAACCCCTCCTCAAACAAACAACAAAACCCCACCCACCTGAATGAAACTGAATTCCCTCCAGTTTAAAGCATTGCTCACGGATGGGATAGAGGTGACCGCCAGCAGGGAAAGTAAACCAAGGCTCATTATTCCAAAGGAGATATACATTTCAATTCTCCAGACTTCTTCTTCATTCCAAGAGTTTTCAATATTTGCATGAACCTGACAAGACAGCAAGTGTGAAGTTTATTTATTTGTAAGGGCATTAACTGATGTAGTACAGAAGTACTGAGTTCACGCTGGTTGAAGGAACCGAGTCATATGTGGACATATTTAAGTTGTATTGATTAAATTCAACCAGCTGGCCCAGAGACCATATCATTTGCTTTAGGATACAAAAGAGAACCCCAGTCTCAAATATATGAAGGAGAACATGTATTAAGTCTTAGTCAGGGCAAAGGCAGCAGGCTCCCATCCAGAGGTGGGAGCCCATTAGTTAGGGGCCCTAACAGCATCTGAGGGTTTTCAGAGACCCAATAGCTTAAATAGGACATGGGAGGGCAAAGCAAAGAGTGACTGATCAATACATCACAGTTGCTGGCCAGACTACAGAATCAGAATGGGACCATGATTGGGACACCTATATTATGCTACCCAGAAGGGCTTATGCCCTTTGACCAAGGCTGTCAGAGAATGACTCAGGAGTATTGCACCCCTCTTCCCCAATCCCCATCAAGAACACACCCAGGTAAGGCCCTCAGGGAAGCAGCCCTCCTTGGGCTAGTTAGGAGTGATAGTAATCTACTTTCTAATGCACCTTGCCTGAGTGCAAGACTGTGCACATTCTGTGAATGGTCTGAAGGAATTCAATGGAAGCTAAACCCACGTGGAGACTCTGCGAATGGATTTGGGGCTTTCTTTGTTCTAAGCAACCTTCCGCAAGCCTAAGTGGTAAAAACACAATGGATGATACTGCTTAGGTGTCAGGGAAAGGGAGCGAGACTTAAGCAAAAAGGTGACTAAGCCTCTCTCCTTTTCTGAAAAGTACATGTGAGCATTATAAATGTATGTCATCTTATGTGAGAAACATCTCAGGTTACAGAATCTGGAGTCACAAACCTATGAGAGAGAAGCTGAAGAGAGGTGGGCTCCGGGATGACACAGAAGAAGAATGGATGAGTACATTTAATTCTGAGCTAGTTTTTAGTTGTAGGTTTAAACTTGAGTGGATAATTTGGTACATTGGGGGTTTGGGTCAAGTTAGAAACCAGGCAGGGACTCTCTAGACTACTTGTGTATTTTCTTTCGTCGTACACAGAACATTTATGTGGTTTTTCTCTTTCATCCTCAGGAAGATGTGAATTGCCTGAGGACAAAGCTTGACAAAGCCAAAAAATGTACCCATTTTGAACTGAACTGACTCATTATTAAGAAAATTTTCTGGAAGTCCAATTGCCTCATTTGTAATATACTTGCCCAAATGTCTTCCCTCACATTGAAAATGCATACACACACAGGGACTCAGGACCTGATTTTCTCTGAAATTATGATAATCTGCATAGGGACAACTTTTAGAATTTTGAATTTACACACAAATAATCAGAATACACATCGACAGTGGACCTCCTTGGGCTAACACTTTGATTTAAATGAGTATCTGTTCATGGAAAAAAAAAGTTTTCCAACTGAATACCAGCTTAACTTTGTCCATTTCCAGTCAACCAAATATATTTATAAGTTTGAGGAAAGAGAAAAAGTTTCCTTTCAACATTTCTCTAAAGCAACTACATTTTCACCCTGAAAGAGGCCACAGGCTCCATCTCCGTGGAAAGATCATCTTCCGATCTTCTCATTTGATTCTGAACAGCTTCCTTTGGCACATCAGGGAGCCCTGGAGGTATAGTGGTTATGCATTTGGCTGTAATCTGTAAGGTCAGCAGTTTGAAACCACCAGCTGCTCCGAGGGAGAAAACAGAGGCTTTTCACTTCTGTAAAGAGTTACAGTCTTGGAAACACACGGGGGGCATCTTCCCCATCCTATGGCGCCACTATAAATCAGCACAGAATTGATGGCAGTGAGTTTTTTCATTTTCTTGGCATACCCAGACACTACCAACTGGAGTTACCTGCTCTCCCAGTTCATTAAGTCATTCCACAGATACTTTAAAAAAAAAGATAAAACAATGTTCATTGCAGCATTATTCATAATAGCCCCAAAGTAGAAGCAACTCAAGTGTACATCAACAGATGAATGGATAAATAAAATGTAGTACATATAGACAAGGGAGTACTTATGATTCAGGCACATAAAGGCAAGTCTGATATTTGCTATGACATAACTGATTCTTGGAAATGTTCAGTAAAATAAGCCAGACACAAAAGAACCAATACTTTGTGATTCCTCTTCGATGAAGAATCTAGAGTAGGAAAATCCATAAAGATATAAAGTCAATTAAAGGTTACTAGTAGATTAGGGAAGGAGGAAAGAGAATGTTATTACTCCATGGGCTCAGAATTTCTCTTTGGGGTGAGAAATATTTTAGAATGTAATTAATGCGGAATTGGTGGTTTACAATTAGTTGTAATATATAATTAGTTCATATATCATGCAATCTAATAGTTCACTCAGAAGAGTTGTGCAGTCATCACCACAGTCAATTTCAAAATATTTTCTTCGTTCTGGTACTCATTGTTGTTAGCTCCCCATCCCTAAGGACTCTTTTGCATGCTCACTCTGTGCCAGACACTGCTGCTCTAAGCACCTGGCACACACCAGTGAACAGAACAGACCAACACCACCTCTCCACTCGCGGAACTTACATTCTGACAGAAGGCAGCCAGCCAAGAAGGTATAGAACAAACAAGAAAAACATACCAGGTACTAGAAGGTGGCTATTGCTATTGAAAGGAAGACAGAAAGACAAAGTAGAACAGGGCATGAGAGGCTGGGAGCACCAGCTGCCGGCAGGCTGCAAAATTAAAAGGGAGTCCCGTGAAGGGCTGATCTATTCTTCGGTACAAAGGTCTCTGTCTTCATACTTTAAGAAGTCTCACAGTCAAAGTAGAACTGTAAGAGCAGCGGTTCTCAACCTGTGGGTTGTGACCCCTTTGGGGGTCGAACAACCCTTTCACAGGGGTCGCCTGGTTCATAACCGTAGCCAAATTTGTTATGAAGTAGCAATGAAAATAATTTTATGGTTGGGAGGTTACAACATAAGGAACTATATTAAAGGGTCACGGCATTAGGAGGGTTGAGAACAACTGGTATAGAGTCTCCACTATCTATAGACACAGCCAGAAGAGGGGGGTTCTACTCGGTTCCTCCCAGTCTTGACTTCCATTCTGCTTTAAGTTTCACAGGTTCTTTGATATGCAAATGACAGAACTCTGCTTTCTGAAAGTGAGGAGTTGAAGCACTTGCTGATGAAGCTCAAAGACCGCGCCCTTCTGTATAGATTTTAACTTAATGGAAAGGAAACAAATCCTTACACCTGGACCAACAGGCAACATTATGACAAATGGAGAAAGGATTTAAGGCGTCAAGGATTCTGTCTTGCTTGGACCTACAATCAATGCTCAAGGAAGCAGCAGTCACTGTATTGAGTTGTATGCACTGTATTGGGTAAATCTGCTGCACAAGACCATCCTTGAAAAGGAATCCATATGACTTTGAGGACTAGTGCGCCCGACACAAACCATGGGACTTTCAATTGCATCACATGCATGTGGGAGTTGGACAGTGAACAAGGAAGACTGACGAAGAATCGATGCACTGAGCTGTGGTGCTGGCAAAGAATAGTCAAAGTATCATGGACTACCAAATAAATAGGTCTACTTTAGAAGAAGCGCAACCAGAATGCTCCTTAGAAGCAAGGATGGCATGACTTCATCTTATGTACTTTGGACATGTTACGAGGAGAGACCAGTTCCTGGAAAAGGAAACCACGCTTGATAAAATAGAGGGGCAGCGAAAAAGAGGAAGACCCTTCACAAGATGGCTTGATACTGTGACTGCAACAATGGGCTCAAACACGAGAGCAATTGTGAGGTAGATGAAGCAGGACCCGGCAGTGTTTCATTCTGTTGTACACAGGGTTGCTATGAGTCGGAACAAAGTTGGCAGTAGTTAACAACAACACAACAATGATTTTATTGATATGCTTACCCAAGTTGTATTATTGTTCTGTGGGACATGGCTAATGATAATAAAATATTTAATGGCTTAATGATAGAAAGAAATTATTACAATCCTAAAATTAAAAAAGGAAACCTCCTTACTATAGGTCTGTGTTTACTCTGAAAAGATAGAAGTGACAGCTTTCATACTTCATACTTCACTGAATTCCTATGTAAAGACAATGTTTAAGAACAATTCTTCCCCCTCCTTCAATATACCAAAAGGATTTTCCTCTTACAACACATGCAAACTTCACGCTATTTTAAACCGTATGTGTTATACATCATAGTCATTATACAAGCACATTCCATACCTGCTGATAAGCCATGTTGAGAAACAAGTATCTCTCTGACCTTCTCATTGGTAAGCAGAGGCTGTAGACAACATGGACGGCGGCGAAGAAAAAACTTAGCAATCCCAGCTGTTTTCGACACTGTAGCCAGGTCTCCAACCATGGTGGAAATCTCCTATACTTGGTGCCATAGTAAAGCTGATAAGCAGCGGCCAGGAGACCTGCTAGGTAGACCAGGGACAGCAAAGTAATGGCAACTATGGGCAAGGTTTTATTCACAATCTCAATAGGAATCTTGTAAAAGTCACTCTGCTGGTTTCTCGCATATGGATGTACCACATCCCTGACAAAGGAATAAAGGAAGAAAAATGTGGCTAGGCTGATAGCGACTACCACTGGCCCCCTCCAGAGAGTAAACAGTCGCAGGGGTAAATTTTCAATCTCCTTAGCTGATGATAATGATCCCAAGTCGATGGGAATGAAATTCAACTGGCGAGCAAGCTCAATAACCTGTTGCCGAGCTTGAATGTTGTTGCTGCATACGTACACCTGCAGGGGAAAAAGGAGAAAGACTCATCATTATTACTGTGGTTTATAAATGTACTAACGCTGCCACCTTCCACTTTCATCTCAGGAGCAACAATGGTGAAGACATTTGAATGATGGAAGTGGCTAAAGTTAAGACATCCAATAAAGCCTTGATTAATGTTATGAATCTATTCATTATCAGGGGAAAACAGTGTCACAAAAATAACAAAATCCTTGCTACCTATGATGACATGAAAATAACATGCAGAGCAACCTAGGTAGAACCGGGGGTTGGTTCCTCAGAGGAGGGCAGGTAGTAAGAAAGCAAGCATACTTTCCTAGGCCCTGTGGCAATGACAAAGGTCTCTCCTCCAGTGGTCCAGGTCCAGGGGGTGCCTGAGCAGCCGGCTCTCTGCCTCACCCTTTACTCTCATCTCTCTAATGACTCCTTAGGGAACAACAAGGCAAGAACACCGCTGGCTGGCTCCCCCTGCACTGGTTCTAGGCAGCAGTGATTCTGCCTAGAGGACTGGTTCTAAGTAGTACTCTTCATACTCAATGGAAGTGGGTTTGTTTTTTGTCTTTTAAATTATACTATGTATGTTACTATGTAATTTAGTAAATTATGTATTTTATTGGTCAGTATACTTCTTCCATTTTTAAAATGATGACAATATACCTAGTGAGAAAACTGTATTCTGAGGCTTAGTTAAATATAACTGAAAAGCAGTTGGTCTATAAATTATAAAGTGTCACCCTGTTGTTAAGGACCATGAAGTCAACCCCAATAGCAAACCTAACAGTGTAAGTCATTCAAATTAAGGGCCCAAGGACTAAGAAACAAGAACGGAACGATTCCTGTAACTTTAAACGTATAGACGGTTCCACAGTGCTTTTTATGTTTTAAAAGTCAACATGATTACAAACAAAAGTAAAGGGTTAAATTAGGTACATCTCACAGGTCATAGCTCTAATATACAGACTTTGGTAGATATGGGGAAAAAAGAGAGAAAGGGATCCAGAAATACCCTCTAGAGAATTAGAAAGTATATATTCTTTTAAGAACTTGGAAGAGAATGATCATCATGACCTTGTTATACAACTACACTTTTATAACTTATATAATAAATTAGTATCCACATTAATGCTTAAAGCATCTAATAAAGCATTTTACAAAAACAATAAAAGCACTTATCATCATGCTTAATTATAAAGGCATAGCTACATCATAACAGATAGCTGAAGTACTCTACTTACTGTATTTACTTATCAAGACTTTCATTCTATCACAGCATCAACAGGCTCAGCATTTGCTTTAATCTCCAGCTGCACTAAATAAAACACTACCAAGATGCTCATGCTAAAGGAAACCAAAGAAATCCAGCCCATTTCTACTTTCCCACACAGACTAAGTCTACACTTAAAGTGAAATTGTGCAATTTAAAGTTCTATGAATATTAATCTATGCAAAATAGAATGGTACTTCTAACACACATTTATTGAGGATAACTAACACAGTTTCTAACAGAGGTGGGATACTGTGTTATTCAGTAGGTGCAAGGAAGTGACAGGAGAAGGATGGAAGAGGAGGGGGCCCACGCGGGGAAGCATCAGGGAAGGACGGACAAAAGTGGCCGGGGAGGACAGTATGCTACTGCTTCTATTTTTGAGGAAGCAAGGAGAGACACAATGCATGGAGTGTCACATTATTCATTTGGCAACTTTACCTTCTTTTTAAATTAGCTGATGGACAAACGATGAAGGTGGTGGAATCCGACCTCCTCTAACTTCATGAGCAGGAGAAACACCATCAGCATCGGCCCATGGCCGATTACTATAAGACAGAGGGTACACTTGTCTCCACCCTCCAACCTTCTAACCATCGCTGATATCAATCATCCCTCACATGGTACACACGACTTTTCTACTGGGTTTGATAATTCATTGCAATGGCCACACAGAACTCACAAACCAAATTCAAGTTATTATGAAGTTTACTATAGGGATGTAACAACGAGATAACTTGACAGTGGCAACGACAATGGATTCAAACATGGTAACAGTTGTGAGGATGGCCTAGGACCGGGTAGTTTGTTTCTGATGAACATAATGTTGCTATCAGAACTGACTCCACTGCACCTAACATCAGTGCCAACAATAAGAAGTTAGAATTCAGCAGCAGAAACAATTAGGATATAGTCCTTCAGTCTGGACAGTCTCCTCTCAGCAAGCCTGCAAGCACAGCTCTCTATGGTCTCCCAGTTCTCAACCATGTGGCCTCTGGTCTTCTCGGGCAAATGTTACAAAGCTCTTTCAAGTCTTCCAATAAATGCCCATTCTGCAAGTAAGCCTCTTCCTGAAAGTGCTCAGCTCTATGGGCTGGCAAACCCTGATTAAGTACCAGGAAGGCACCCCACTCTTGTCAGCAAGCCTCCTGCCTCATAGCTGGGAGCCCCCTGTACCATTTTCTGCCGGTCTTCTGGTTCTGCAGCTGTCTCTTGCCATCTCTGGTGTCTCAGTTCAGTGCAGGAATTTCAAGGTGATGATCTACTTCTGGTTCTTCTGTCCTGATGGTACTGAGATCTCATGTTCCTCCCTCTGCACTGAATTATTTAAAGCCTAGCATATAGCAAAATGGACCAGTCTCCATGTAGGGTTCCATATACCCTATTTGTATTATTCTATCCCAGATAAGTATCATGTACCTGATTGACATTTTGGCAAGCTATCGAAACCCCTTGGTAGGCCACAAGTACCCCACATTTACATAGTCGTACCCTGTCATTTGCTCAGAGTTTCAGATGATAGCTCAAAAGCTCACTGCCATCAAAGTGATTCCAACTTCTGGTGGCATAGTGGGTTACATGTTGAGTTGTCAAATGCTGTTCAAAACCACTAGCCGCTCTTCAGGAGAAAGATGAGTTTTTTTACTACTACTATAGAGATTTATAGTCTCAGAATTCCACAGCGTATAATTCTGCTTTGTTCTACAGGGTTGATACGAGTTAGAATCGACTTGACGGCTTTGAGTTTGAGTTACAGCGACTCTGTAGGACTGAGGAGAGCTCCCCATGTGGGTTTCCAACACTAGAAATCTTTATGGGAGTAGAAAATCCCATCTTTCTCCAATGGAGCAACTGGTGGATTTGAACTACTGACCTTGTAGTTAGCAACCCAACATATAACCATGCCACCAGAGCTCTTTATGGTTAGAGGACCATAATAAGTAACTTTCAGTGGTACAGGAAACGACAAGTTCTTTGATCAGCTTTCCATATCGATTTGGGAATAGAAATATGCCCTTACAAAGTAAGCACCTTAATCGCCAGGCTTTCTTGTATAGTTTTCCAAATGATAATCTTTGGAGAGCTTCAGAATCTGGTATTCAAATGTCTGACCCTTGTTTAGCTCTTTACCAAGCATCAGATAATTAAGGTTAAAATACACACACACACACACACACACACACACATACCTGCCGGCTGGCATCTTTAGGTCCTAACTGAAGCGCCCAAGCTGAGATAACGTTAAATCCTTTGACGATCAAGGAATCTGGGAATAACGAGGCCAAATACTCAGCATTGGATTCTGGGTATTGGTTTACCCTCATGTTATTGCTAACATCAATCAGGATTTTCCCCACAAGCAGGTGTCTCAGGTCCCACAGGGAGGTGTAATGTTCTCTGTGTATGGCAACAAAGATTATATTTGTTTTGGTGAGAGCATCTTCATGATGAGTGACATCCACCACGTGAGGAAAAAATTCAGAAGCAAATTTAGGATTTCTACTTCCTATCACCACGTGATAGCCACATCTAATAAGCCGAATGGTCAGGGATTTGGCAAAATCCCCACTGCCGATTACACCCACGGTGACCTTCTTTGCGTCTTTGATGCCGTTTAAGCCATTGGGCAAAAACGTTTCACTCAGGCTCTTGGGGCTTCCCATCACCGAGATGGACTCCATGGTGAGGCCTATTCCAAGATCACCAAGCACCTGTGTCCTAGAGAGAAGAAAAGAAAATGTTCAACCACTGCTGATTACCACGCACGGAAACACTCTTAAAGGCTATAAAAATCTGTCAGAAGTAAAAGATTCTAGCAAGCACAGTAAGCTAAACAAAAGGTTGTTGAGGTGGAAAAATCAAACAAAGATGATGTACCAAGGCAGGCCTTGGCAAATCGCACATGCACACAAATCACTTATGGGACCTGTTAAACCACACACAGACCCTATAGGCTCCTTTAATATCAAACCGTAGTTTAGTTTAAATAGTAAACTTACTGAGTAAGTTCAGCTTAACTAGTTTAGCATCAACTAGCCTGGAGCACCATGATCTTTTCAGATCAATTCAGATAAGGCCAAACTGACAACAGCAATGGAAAAGATGAGATAGGAAACTGAAGTGACAGCGAGTTTAGGTTAAAGAGAAGCACAGTTAGGTAAGAGGGGGAGAGAAGGGCTGCACAACTTGAAGAATGTAATCAATGTCACTGAATTGTACAAGTAGGAAGTCTACAACTGGCCTGTGTGGTGTAGATTCTCAACAACTGCAACAGTCTATATATAGCTCCTAGGTGCTCAAACTTTTTTGTCCTACTGTACCCCTTTCAGAAAAAAAAAAAAATTCAGCACCTCCTTGGCTATGAAAATCTTTTGTATTGAAACCTCTAATTCAGGTTAAAGTGTAGTTAAATCTGGTTTTGCAGCACCCCTGGATCATTCTAGCTAGCATCCCCAGGGGGCAGTATTGCCCACTTTGGGAAGCACTGATAGGAAATAACCAGTTAAAAATAAAAAAGACAGGGATTTTAAAAATTTTATTTTAAATCTAGATTCTGAATCAAGAATCTGCATCTGTGACAATTTCCTGGGCTTACAAGTGTGGCTAGTCTGTAGAGTCTCCTTGAGTAACACACATGGAAAGAGAATGACATTTGCACCTAGAACTCTTTAAAAAACTTAATATTCACATGCATGTATTAAGCAGTTTATGATTATTTCTGTGAAAAATACCTCACAGAATATTTTCCTCCAAGTATATGAAAATCCAAAATATCATAAAATTCTCATTCGTACACCATCCCAAACTAAAAATTTAAAACTGATTAGCCCAGTGGCTCTCAACCTTCCTAATGCTGCGCCTCTTTAATACAGTTCCTCATGTTGTGGTGACCCCCTGATATAGTTTATTATGCCAGCCTGGCTGATAAATACAAGTAGGATTAACTGAAGGGCGGAGAGATAATGGCTCGGTGAGCCTTGCCTTTCTTGTCTCTTGCTCTTTGATCATCGGACCAGTGTGTGGCTGCCTTGCTCATTCTTTGCCTCAATTTATAGACTACACTACCTGTGGGACGCCTAGCCTGTGGACTGTGTCTCTGTAAGTTGAGGTCCCTTTAAGACATCTCTGGAGCTGGGGACTGGCGGTTGGTGACCTGGCTGACAGTTGGTGATCTGCCTTGTGATTGGCTGCTGTGCTGAGAGAGCCTCACTCTCTCTATAAATAGAGGGAGATCTGGCAGCAGAGAGACGAGAAGGACTGCTAGTCTCTCACAATTAAGCCATTTGTAGTGCTTACAATTTAACTGTTCATTTCTGATATATTTATCTGTATATGATTTAACAGATCATTTCTTGTTATATATCTAATCTTTATAAATAAATATATTTAATTATCAGCAATTTGGTTTTATCTCTCTAGAGAACCCTGTCTAACACAGCCTCCCAACCATAAAATTATTTTTGTTGCTATTTCATAACTAATTTTGCTACTGTTGTGAATTGGGCAACCTCTGTGAAAGGGTTGTTCGACCCCCAAAGGGGTTGTGACCCACAGGTTGAGTACTGCTGGATTAGCCTCATTTTACATGAGAAGCTATGAAAAGAGATCATTGTATTTTTTGACCCAGACCGACTGCTCATTATACTTTTCTTGGAAAAAAATATGGTGCAAAGATTTAAGGTTTCGAGGGGGAAAACTCACAAAATATTATTGTATTTCTTAGAATGCTAGTTAATTACAATGTCAAGCATGACAGAGAATTTCCACTTTTACAGTACAAAAATGAATATATCCTTATAATACAAAAGGAAAGAAAAAAGGTGTAGCTTTTGAACAGTTGAGCTTTTACTGACTGAATAAGCAATCGACATTTTCCCCCCCTCTCAGTCTGGCGTTCATCCGATTCAGTAGCATCTCCAATTTGAGTGCTAGGGCCACGTTACCTTTAATGTTTAGTTTTCCCGACATAAGTGCCATCATTGGTTTTGTTTTCCCAGAAAACAGTTTTACAGTATCTTCAGCAGACACTCATCACCACATCTGCCCACTCAGCAGGTTCTCCAAATCCAGTTTTCCCACCCCTGTTAGTACAATGAAGAAACCCTGTTCCACTGTCTTCCCCTGAGAGTTGAAACTGAGCCTGCTTGCATGGCTTCAACTGTGCCATCTCTGAGAGGCTCCTGGACAATTCTAAATGCTTCACTGGCCGGTCCAGAGCCTCACTTTGTTTGTGGCTCCTACTTCCCTTCCTTGAATGCTGGACCAGTGCCACGTGATTATATTTTCTTGGCAAGTTCATCAGGGAGTTCATCTAAGAAGCACTCAGGTAACATTGGATGGCTTGGTTTCATTGCATAGATGTCCAAATTTTTTTATTCCTTCTTCTAAGATATTTTCCTCATTGATAAAGTTGCCAGCAACATATTTTAGCATTTTGGAAATCGAATATGGAGCATCTGCAAGGATATCAACTTTTCTACATTGGCTTTTGATACCAGATTCTCCTATCAAATCCATAGAAGCATTGCGTATGGCTGCCGAGGCCATAGTACATTGACTCCAATTTCACCTTTAAATTCTTTTGCCATTTCCAAGTACACACAGACATACCATGCTTAGTAATGGGATAAGCATAGTGCTGTTTGAAACACAATGGATTTGGGTTCAGTGGAGGGCTGAGATCGCAGAAATAAGCAATTATGTTCTCTTTTCAAATAAAGAGTAGATGCTTTAGGTGTAAGATACTGACATTCATCATCAAACCTACTCTTTGTGTTTCCATTGTGTTGTTCAAGCTAATAGCACTGGCATTATTCACTAAAATGTCAATTCCTCCAAATTTCTCAATGGCTTTTCCACTTCATTACTGATTTGACATCTTTCTCTCACATGGCAAGACCTTTCATCCAATTGTTTCAACCAGTGCTGGTAGCATGCTTATGGCAGATAGGAGGGCATGCCAGCAACTACGGTGATGGTGGTGATGAGAAGAACGTTTTTAACAGATAGTTTTAATCAATACCCAGTGCTATAGTTACAAAATTTCATGTCAACTTGATTGAGTGTAGGGGTGGAGTCTAGCTGGTCAATCAGGTCAGAGCCTGATGATGCTTCCTTTTGGGTATGGCCTTCTCATGAGGATTCTGGGAACGTCCTCTTTCTCCTGAGAGGAAGGCCACACTTTTCTCTCTGCTTCACCTTCCTGTTTAGGAGACACACTCAGGGAGCTGGAGGAGCCATGTGGAGACCTGTGCCAGCGCTGAGATGCTTCCACTGCAACTGGATTCACAGGACTTTTCCCACACTGGCCTGTGGCCACATTGCATGTGGCTGTGTGAGCCTGAAGAGGAATTTGTGGGCTAGTATTGGGCATATGGGCTAATATTGGACTTATGGACCTGATCTGGGCTGGGATAGGATGTTTTCTCAATATACAATTTTTCTTTGACACACGAGTGTGCCTGGATCTGTTTCTCTAGTTAACCTGGTCTAACACGCCCAGCTTCTCAGCAGATCAGAGACAGCAAATCATAAATGCTGGTAGAGGCAGTGAGGAGGACCATAATTTGATAAAGCACTTTGATAAAACAGAAGGCAGGGAAAGTATAAAGAGCAAAGTGATATTTTAAAATAAAGCAGTCTAAAGACAATTTTGGTGTAGAGATATACTGTACGCCTCAGAAGTTCAGTGGTTGAGTCATTTTTGTGAAATAAAGGTCTACCAGCTAATGACAAATAAACCCCTTAAAAAGTTAATATATTTTAAAGTAGGCATCAAAATATACCAATGATTTAATTAAATGTCACACATTTCTATCATTTACCCTATATCTATAACTTATGATTGATAAAGATAGCTTTCCCAATGTTGAAGGAGACTAGTATATTTATAGTCTTAGATTGCTCAAAGCTTATGAAATCTTTCTCCTCCTTCTACTCATTGTTTGTATATAAGATGAAACCATTGTTCTTTCTGGAAAAAAATATGTCAACTTATTTTCTGTGTAAACGACTCCAACCAAAAATCAAACTCCCTGCTATTGAGTTGAATCCAACTCACAGTGATCCTATAGGACAGAGTAGAACTGCCCTGTGGGTTTCCAACACTAAAATTGTAAGGGAGCAAAAATCTTGAACTTTCTCACATGGAGCGGCTGGTTTTGAACTGCTGACCTTGAGATTAGCACTTTGACTTGTAACCCACTACACTACAAGGGCTCTTCATGTACTTGATTAATATCTGACCTTTTTTTGTTTTGAATTTTTCATAAGTTGCATAAGACCACAAAGTCAGGTTGCTATGAATCAATGTGGCTGTTGGGAATGCAAAATAATTTTCCCTTCCACCCTCATTACATAACTTCTTCGATGCTCCAGAGGATTTAATGAATTTTCCAGGCACAGGTTGAAATTTTCAAGCAACATGCTCTGGGTGTTTTTTGCTAAATAAAGTTTGAAATTATTGGAGCCAGGAAGTTTTGAGTATTCACCCTTGAAATAGGTCACATTTAATGACTCATTAGTACATCAGTAAATTAATTTTTGGAAAGATAGTACTATTCAGAAACTTAATTGTTTTAGAAAATAATTAGCTATAGTAATAATAGCTCATACATATAGTGAATACTATGGTCTAGCTTTGCTTCACATTTATTAACTGATTAAATTCCCACAACCATCCTGTAAGAGAGATGCTACTACT